TTTAGGGATATTGTTGCTTTAAATATACTTAACTACACACACACACACACACACACACGAACACACACCACACACTCCCGCATATATATATAACTATTATATATTCTACATTTTATCCTCTTCTCTTCTTACGATATAACTCTTCTCTCTCATCTATCTCTGTCATATATATTTATATCTAAGGGTATCCATCATATTACTAATATATCTATATATTACATATTACTATATATATGGTACATATTCATATATCCATCGCTACTACATACATATAATAATCACTACGACATATATATATCTATATATATATTGCTATTATATATCTATCTATAGTCTATCTAGTCCTATATTATTAGTCCTCTTCTCAATCTCTCAGACTAATATATATATATATATAGTAAATATATGTGTGTGTGTGCGTGTGTGTGTGTCTGTGTGTGTGCATATATCACTATATATCTCATCTAGATTCTATTATTATATATATTATAATATACTATAGTACGTTTATTATACCTTATACTATTTATTACTATATCACATGTATATCTCTCGAATTAGTAGTATATGCTACATGTATACTATAATCATATATTGTAGTAATCAAGGATTATGCATGTGTCTACATATAGATGCCATCTATTCTCTCGCTCCTTTTTCCGTCCCATTTCTTATTTCTGCGCTTTCGATCTCTCAGTGTATCACAACCGGTCCGAAGTTGATTTTGCTACTGCCCCGCCCTCGCATCCGACACTGTCTTTGTTACGTCGTCGCGCGCTTGCCTTCCTCCTGGCAACTCTCTTCTTCGCGCCCGCCGAGAATGAATCAACGCTATTTCCTTCGTAGGCGAAGTTCGAAGATAACAGAAATCATGGGGGCTTTACCAAAGGACCTCTTCGTGAACGCTTGTTAGTGGCGCCTCGGGGAGAAGAGAGGAGGGGGGAGGGGGAGGGCGGTATGGCATGCGGAGGTGCTCTGGGGGGGGAAATCGATGTATAAAGAGAAAGGGGAGGTGGCTCAGGGGAAGAGGGAAGGTCTCGCCGTTCGAGTAGCGTCATAGGATAGTTCTCTCTCGGAGAGTCTTCTCTGGGAGCCTAATAAACTCCTCTTTTGCTTTGGACACGTCTCACTCATCTTCCACTCTTTTCTGTATCTGCTCTCTCGACCCCCTCGTCTTCTATTTATTCATCTACTATTCGTTCCCGTTTGTGTTTTTCCTAGTGTGGAGGATCTTCTATGTTTGTGCTGTATTGTGTGTCACTTGTGTTTTGTATTGTCTGTGTATAATGTTGCATGTTATTCTCCTGATCAGCTCCCAGTACATGTAATTCTAGGTTGGGAAGGGTAAGCAGACATATCAAAGTGGTCACAATAAGATCACATTATAGTAGATAATATCTAGATAATGTTACTGAATAAAAGAATAACTGCGACGGAGGAAATCCATATTGGCCTCGTAAGTAATTTAGGAATACACTTATTTCCGAGGGATACCTTTATAAGCGGTTTTGTCTGTTCGATCCTCCTCTCTCATACTTCGCATATCCATATTCACCAAAACGCATGCCAACACATCTAACAGTTTGCAAAATCCTCGATACAGTACCTCAATTCGTCTATCTCGCATCTACAATTCATGGATGTCAATAACCAGATGGTATGTTCTTTTATCTAACACCGTCCAAGAATCTCTAATAGTGTTCTTACTGCCATCGCCTTCATGTCGTTATGCCCATTCCAGTGGTGGTGGAATTTTGACAAAAAAAAATTTCTTTTTAGACCAAATACACAGTCCGACTACTTTAATCCTATATGTACTTAATTATGGTAAATCACTTGGGCCATTTAGGATTTCATAAGGGTAATCTTAGCTACTAGCATTCTTTAAGCTCTTCGGATATATGTGCTATTTCTATCATATAATTAGTGTCTCTGTGAGGGATGAAAATATTTTGGCTGCAATGCAGTTACCTCGACCGTAAAATGTGGCAGCTCTCTTTTTTAAAGATGCATATTATCTCTCTTCTCTCTCTCCTCATCTCTCTCGTCCTCTCTCTTCTCTCTATAATATATATATATATATATATATATATATATATATATATATATATATATATATAATATATATATATATATATAATAATATATTTACACATCAACACATACACACACACACACACACACACACACACACACACACACACACACACACACACACACACACACACACACACACACACACACACACACACACACACACACACACACACACACACACACACACACACACACACACACACACACACACACACACACACACACACACACACACACACACACACACATACACACACACATACATATATATAATATATATATATATTATATATTATATATATATATATATATATATATATATATATATATATATATATATATATATATATATATCATCTTTAACGGTAACCATGGTAGTAGCCGCACTTACCATGGAGACCTTACGTGGAGGGGGGGGGGAAGAAGCGACCTTGAGAAGCTAAAGTAAAAATTCTTCCGTTGGCGAGCGGCCATTACACTTGGGGGGGGGGGGGGGGGTGTATAAAGAAAGAAGGAAATTGAGAAAGGATGAAGAGGCAAGAAATAGGAGGAAGGATGGAGGTAAAGAGCGGGTAAAGGGTGGAGAGGCATAGGGGGATGATGAGGGAGAGGGGAGGAGGGGAGAGGGGAGGAGGAAGGAAAAGAGTAGAAGAAGGAGGGGAGAGGGAGAGGACGGGGGATGTTAGGAGAAAAAGTGGGGGGAAGAGAAAGCAGGGGGAGATGGAGAAGAGGAGGAGAGCGAGAGTAAAGGGAAGGGGAAGGGGAGAGAGAAGCAAATGGAAAGGGGAAAAGAAGGATAGAAAGAAAGATGGAAAGAGAGTAGGAGGGAGAGAGGCAGAAAGAAGGAGGTAGAAGAATTGAAAGAGCAAAAGTAAAGAAGAGAGAGAGAGAAAGAGAAAAGTTGAGAGAGAGAGAGAAGGAAAGAGAAAGAAGAGACGGAGAAGGAGAGGGAGAAGAGAAGAGAGAAGGTAGAAAGAAGGGAAAGAGAGAGAGAAGGTAGAAAGAAGAGGGAGAGAGAGAGAGAGAGACTGTAGAAGGAAGAGAGAGAGAGAGAGTGAACAGTCATTGAGAAAAAGCGAAAGAGGAGGAGACATGCAGTGGATGAGAGCGAAAGAGGAGGTGAGAGCAGGAGATAAAACTTTATGATATGGGTTGAAGGATTTATGACTCGTGGGGCATAAAAAGGGCCAAGAGGTTTCTCTATTCAACTTCCTGAGGGAAATAGAAGAGAAAAAAAAAAAGATTTTGCTAAGATTTTCGCACTTTTCAATCGCCAACTCCGGGACACTTCTCTCTCAATGTACTCTCATTATCCTTCGTATTCCATCTATTTTCCTTTCTTTCCTATTCCTTCGTTATTCGTACTTTCCCTTTCTTCGAATATCCTACATATTTACATATCTTCTGTTTACATATTTTCATACATGCTTACACATCCCCCTTCGTGTTTACATATATTCTCCCTCATACTTACGTACTTATTTCCCCACACTTCATCACAAACTTACATACTTACATTTCTCCCACGTACATACTACCCCCACAAAGTTACATATCTTCCCACATCCATAATCTCCCACATACAAATTCTCCGACAAACATACACATATCTCCCCACATCCATAATCTCCCACAAACCTACATATTTTCCCCACATGCACAATTTCCCACATCCATATTCTGCTTCTTCCTTCCACATTTTCCTGGATCCGTTCTAGACGACTAACGGTCCAACTAAGCGACCATTACATATGCATTTTCTCCTTCGTCTTAACTCTTCACTTTGTCTGTATGAAATTACGTCGACTTTATCACCATGGAAACGACCAGAACGCTTGGCCGATATGCGTTAATCATTTTCTTTTTTTCTTCTTCTTCTTCTTTTTTTTCAAGAGAATTGAAGATTGTCTAATGGTATTCAGATATTCGTGTATTCGAATATTTGTGGTATTGTGTATTTTGAAGAGATTATTGGAGATCACATTATTTTGGTATTTTTATGGATTTGTGTGGTATGGGAATGTTGGAGAATTAATGATATGAGTCATTTGTTTATGCTGTTTATGTACTTGAGGAATATCCAAAATTAAGTAATTTTTTTTTCACATATCTATCTATAAGTTCGTATACCTTTAGAATTGATAAAGATAACGCCATACCACTCACGCATTGGCTTTTAAAAAAAAAATCAAGAATCACAACGATCACTTATTTAATATTTACTCCATTTCCTCCATGCTTTATCACATCATCTAACCCCTTTCTCCTCTTTCTCTCCCCTCCCCTCCCCCCTCCCCCCAGGCCCGGAGCAAGAGCGGGTCGGTCGACGCTGTTCCCAAGAGCCAAGCAGGCAAGGGCGGCACTGCTCAGAAGATCGGCACGCCCTCGAAAAACAACAACAACAAGCAGGTGACCAAGCCCTCCGCCCAGAAGACGCAGGTCAAGCAGGCGCCCTCCAAGCAGGTCCAGCAGACGAAAGGCGCGGGCGGCAAGAAGGGCAAGAAGGGCCACAAGCATCAGCAGTACGACCTCATCGTCACCATCGACCTGGTCAGTTCTTACGATTTTTTTTTTTTTTTTTTTTTTTTGAGAGAGAGAGGGTGTATGTGAGAAAGAGAGCGAGAGAGAGAGAGAGAGAGGAAGAGAGAGAGAAGAGAGAGAGAGAGAGAGAGAGAGAGAGAGAGAGAGAGAGAGAGAAAGAGAGAGAGAAGAGAGAGAGAGAGTGGGAGAGAGAAAGGAGAGAAGAGAGAGAAAGGAAGAGAAAGAGAGAAAGAGAGCGAGAGAGAGAGAGAGAGAGGAGAGAGAGAGGAGGGGGAGAGAAAGGAAGAGAGACAGAGAAAGAGAAGAAGAGAGAGAGAGAGAGAATAACGAAGAGGAAAAGAAAGAATTAGAGCAGAATTAGAGCATGGGTGTTCGCACTCCTTGGGGGTGTGAGATAGCATTCCAAGGGGAGCGAGAAGTGTCCATCTTGAAGACTAGCACTTAATCTATTTATTACTGATAATCAAAGAAAAGGAAGAAAAGAGCCATTGAATTGAAAATTAATTTACATAAACGTTTTGAAGTTAGTTTGATGTTTACATGTAGGTATTTCAAGCAAGTGATTATTCTTTGTAGGGTTTATTCAAATAATCTGGGACATGTTTTCTTGTCCATTTGCTTGATTTTTGTTAACATATTATTAGAATATGAAAAAGAATATTTTCTTTTGTTGATCAAAGTTAGTATAAATTCACCTTCTTTATCCTTAAATAAGTTATGAATTTAAAGGGGGTGCGAAGACACAGTAACATTTTCTTCGGGGTGCGAGGTTAAAAAACGTTGGGAACACTGAATTAGAGTCTAGAAACACACCAAGATTACAAGGAAAGTAAAGAATACACAGACACCAAATAGTAAAAAAAAAAATACGTATATAAATAAACGCAACACACAGCACACTACACACCCCCACCACCATCACAACCCAAACCCAAATTCTCAAGAGCCAGTCCCCCCAACAACAACAACTTTGCCCCGAGACGCCCCACTCCATCACCAAGACAACCTACGTCTCCTTCACCCCGCCCTCCTTTCTCTCCCTCCTCCTTCGGGTTCCTGCAGGTGGAGTACGGGCTGACAGACGACCTCGTGGCTGAGTTCAAAGAAGCCTTCATGCTCTTCGATAAGGATGAGGACGGCATGATCACGACGGCGGAACTCGGGGTCGTTATGCGGTCCCTCGGTCAGCGCCCTTCAGGTCAGTGTCGGTCCTGTGGGGGTCTGGGAATCATTGGTGCATGTTCTGTTATTTCGCTAGGGGGTTGTGAGGATCGTTTTGTTTCTCTAGGTGTCTCTGAGAGAATGCTCCTCTAGATGAGAATGGTCTTGAGTATATAGCCTCTAAGGTGATCCTGCTGAATGCTGTTTAATCTACGGTGATCCTGAATGCTGTTATACCTCTAGTGATCCTGAGAATGCGTCTGAGGAATGGTCTGTTATACCTCTAGGTGATCCTGAGAATGGTCTGAGAATGCTGTTGTACCTCTAGGGTGATCCTGAGATGGTGTTGATACCGCTCTAGGTGATCCTGAGAATCGTCTGAGAATGGTCTCTAGGTACGAGAAATGCTGTGAAAGATGCTTACCTCTAGGTGATCCCTGAGAATGGTTCCTGAGAATTGCTGTTATTACCTCTAGGTGATCCTGAGGAAATGCTGTTATACTACCCCTAGGCGTGATCCTGACGATATGCTGTGCAGACAAACTATTACTCATAGGTCGATCCTCTGCAGATGCTGTTATACCTCTAGGTTGACCCTGAGAATTGGTCTGAGAATGGTTGTGTAATACCTCTAGTGATCCTGAGAATGGTCTAGAGAATGCTGTGTAACCTTAGGTGATCCTGAGACCACATGAGTCTAACACGGAATGCTGTCATACCTCTTAGACCGTGATCCTGGAGAATGCTGTAATGCGTACTACACACTCTAGGTGATCCTGTGTAAGAGATGGTCTGAGAATGCTGGTATTGTACCTCCTTACGGTGACCCTGAGAATGCGTCTGAGAATGCTGTTATACCTCTAGGTGATCCTGAGAATGGTCTGATACCTCTAGGTGACCCTGAGAATGGTCTGAGAATGCTGTTTATACCTCTGAGACGTGATCACTGAGAATGCTGTTATACCTCTAGGATGATCCTGAGAACCTGGTACTGAGCGAAGTCGCGTTAGCACCCTCTAGGTGAGTCCTATGAGAAAATGGTTCTGAGAATGCTGGTTGTACCTCTAGGTGAGCGCCTGCGGAGAATGGTGTTATTACCTCTAGGTGATCCTGAGAATGGTGTTTCTCTATACCTCTAGGTTGATCTAAGAAAAGCTGTTTATACCTGCTAGCGTGACCCCTGAGAATGTGGTCTTCTTGAGAATGGTGTCTTTACCGTCTTGCGAGGTGATCCTGAGAATGCTGTATATACCTCTAGGTAGATCCTGAGAATGCTGTGTATACCTTTAGGTAGATCCTATATATCAATGCTGTTAATACCTCTAGGTGTACCCTGAGAATGCTGAGTAAATGGTGTAACCCATATCTGAGATGGTTCTGAGAATGGTTAAATCCTCTAGGGATATCCTCGAGAATGGTTGAGGGAATGCTGCTTATACTTCTAGGTGACCCTGAGATGGCTGAATGCTACTGAGGTGCTCTTCTGCATGATCTGAGAACTGCTGTTGCTACCTCTATGTGATCTTGAGAAGCTTGTCGTGATAAGCCGGCACTCTAAGTGACCTGAGAATGCGCAATCGTCTTTATAACACCTTTCTAGGGTGGACCCTGATGTAGGGAATGGATCTGAGATATTGCTGTTTACTTACGTCGATTATCCTTCTAGTGTGACCCTGAGAATGGGTCGAGAAGTGGCTGGATACTTATACCTTCTAGGTGACTCCTGGTAATGCGTCTGAGAATGCCTGTTGTATACCTTCTAGGTTGATCCTGAGAATGCTTTATACCTCTCAACAGGTGACTCCTGAGATGCTTGATTATACACTTAGGCTGATTCTGAGAATGCGTCTGAGACTCTCTCTCTAATTTACCTCTAGTGACCCTTGAGATCATGGTCTGAGAATGCTACTATTCCTCTATTATCCGAGAATGCTGTACCTCTCCATGTGCATCTGAGAATGGTCTGAGAATGCTACGTATACCTCTAGACGTGACCTGAGAATGAGTCTCAGAATGGTTTATACCTCTTAGGTATCCTGAGATTGTATTTTTGTAGATGTCCCTGAGAACGCTTTGTTATTTCTCTAGGTGACTCTGAGGGTATTGTTATTTCTTTAAATATCCCTGTGAATGATTTCTTATTTATTGTAGGGAATCTTGAGGATATTGTCATTTCTGTAAATGTATTTGCGAATGCTCTTTTTTTCTTTAGATATATCTGAGAATATTGTTTTTTTTTTAGGTTTCCCTGAAAATGGTCTGGGAAAGGCCTTATTTCTCTAGGTGTTTCTGAGAATATTGTTGTTGTTGTTGGTGTTTTGATAGATGTCTCTGAGAATGCTCTGTAAATTGCTATGTTCTGTCGGTAGATATTTCTAGGCATAGTTAATTCTCTAGATGTCCCTGAGATTGTTTTAATTTCTGTAGATGTCTCTGGATGGATGTATTTTTTCTAAGAGTTCTCTAAAGAATTCTGTATTTTTTGCTTGTCTGTCTGCAAATAATGTTCATTTTCTAAACGTCCCTCAACATATAGTATTTAGTTATGTTGTGTTTCTGAAATATTTTGTTGTTTTATGGGTATCCCTTGAGAACACAGTTATCTTATAGGTGTTGTCATGAGTATGTATTTTAATCTAGTTAGTTGTCACAGAGCATTATTGTTATTTTTTTCTAAATGTCCCTGAGTATATAGTTATTTCTTTAAGTGGTTTCTGAGCATGTTTATTTTCTCTAGATGACCCAAAGAACATTGATTTATTCCCCAAGGTGCCCTTGTGAATGTATTTATTTCTCTGATGAGTAGTTTCTTGTTTAGGTCTTATGTGGTCTCAGCATGTTTTTTTTTTTTTTTTCTTCTTCTTTTTTCTTCTTTCCTTTTTTTTTGTGTGCTGGTGTCAGTGTATGACGTCTTTTTTTTTTTTTTTTTTTTTTTTTTTTTATTAATCTATATATATTTTTTTATTAATATATTATTTATTTCTGGTGTCCTTAGAATTTTTTAGTCATATGTTATTTGTCTTAAATTTTTTTTTTTCTGTTATGAGGTAAGTATAATGTCTTGTTCTTTAAAGTTTTTTGTGTTCTCTTATATTATTTTTCTTTTGTATGTTATTGTTAGTTTATTTGGGGTTGTGTCTTTCAGATATTTTGTTTTTTGTTTTTTGGTGTTGGAGTATATTGTTCCCTTTCATGAGTATTGTTTATTTTCTCAATAAGCTGCCGTCCTTATGTTTCAAATCTCTCTAGTTAGCCCTGGAATATATATTAAAATTTAAATGCAGTTTCTAGGGGTGCTCCCTAATAATGTATTTATTTCTAGGTATCTTTGAGTGTATAGTTATACCTCCGTTAAGTATTTCTATGGCAAATGTTATTTCTGTGCTGTATATCTAAGAGTAGTTATTTCTCCTGAATAACGTATCTCTCAGTATACTGTTATTTCTCTGCCAAATTTACATAGTTATTTCTCTAAAATCACGGCATTTAATATTATTTCTCTAAATTGAATATCTTTATAATATAATATCTTAGAAATGTGGGATTACGTTTTCGACATCTATACTACGTAGGAACTTCCGTAATGGAGTTTAGGTAGATGGCAGTTCGATGTGTTCGAGCTGTCTACCGAGAACTAGCTAAAAGCACCCTTATATAGGCCACAGCTCATCCCTAATCGAGTGCCGTGCTTGCTGCTGTCGGGCGAGAGCTGGCACCCACGCAGGTAATTGTTCCACACAGTGACAGCGACAGGCGGGCGAATATGCCAGCTATCTGTCATCATATCGCGGCCGAATCTCCCAAAGTCACGGGAGGCATAGAAGGACCAGGCTGCCATGTGGATACTTGTGTGGGTGAGGGTCAACGTAACCCCTCTGCCGCGTCAGGGTGGAAGGGGCGCTGTCAGGGGCATTTCACATTTTAGTCGCTTGTGGTTGATCGCAACATCTGCAATACGTCCATCACGTGTCAGTCAGCGAACGCACAAAACGCTGATCTCGCTCTGCTTTTTGCTGTGAATTTATACCCCGGCGCGCAAGACAATGGCAACGGCTCATAATTATAAACTCGGGTGGCGTTGCTTACGTATTCACGGCATGAAAATGAATTCCGGGAAGCGGGAAATACAGTGAGTTATAAACGGTGCTGGATGCAACGTGCAGCGCAGCGGCCGAGAGTCCTGGCTCGCGAACGGGAAGTTTCGAGGTCTGCGGCGCCGCGCCAGGCCAACAGATCTTTGATAGGTGGGGAGTAGGGAGGGCGGAGCGATGGGAGGGAGTAGGGGAGGGGGAGGATGGGCTAGGAAGGAGGGGTAGGAGTGAGGAGAGGGGGAGGAGAGGGAGGGACGGAAGTAGAGGGAATGAGGAGAGGGGAGAGAGTAAGGGAAGGGGAGAGAGCGAGGAGAGGGGGAGAGAAAAGAGATGAAGGAGGGGGAGGGGGGGGGCGTAGGGAAATCAGATCACACACCGCGTTGAAATAGACATACTCTTGCAACGCAGCCACCAAAAATTATCGCTCATGCAATAAACTAACGGCGACAGCGGCTCTGTTAGATTATGGCCTCCAATAAGTTCCTCTTAAATTCCCCATTAGGAGCTGTTTACGGCGTTGAAAGACCTTGTTACCCGTTTACAGTGTTGCTTGTTACAGATTAATGGTCTTGTCCGTCAAAGAGAGGGGTAACGTGCCTATTTTCTGTTGACAACTTGAACAGCTGTTTGTGTGTTTATGCTATGAATGACCATCATTGTCATTTATAGCGCTATTCAACGGGTAGTTTACATAATTTAGAGTGTCAGAAATCCTCTACTTTCTTGTTATTTTAGGTTTGGTTGTCTGAGTCATGGCAGTATCGTCAAATAACATTAGTAATAAAAAGATTTTAAACAGCTATATAATGTTAATCCTTGTTGCCCGTTCTTGTTTATCTAATCATTATATATTTCCCTTAACCTACTCACAATCTAAATCTTTCCGTTAATTTCATATCGCATAATAAAACTGAGCTTACGATTTTTTTCATGATGAAACGGAATTTCAGATTTTTTAATAAAAACTGAACTTAGGATTTTTCAACAAAACTGCAACGATTTCTTCTTTTTTTCATAACAAAACAGAAAACTGAACTTTATTTTTTCATAAAAAAAAACAGAAAACGGAACTTCAGTTGTTGATGTTGTTGTTGTTTCCATAACAAAACTGGACTTCACATAAAAAAAGCTTGACTTAACCGCAGCCCCATCATTACAGAGACGGAACTGCGCAAGCTGGTGGGCGAGGTGGAGACCTGCGCCGACGGTACCATCGAGTTCAACGAATTCCTGCAGATGATGAGCAAGAAGCTGAAGGACATCGGGAACGGCGACGAACTCAAGGAGGCCTTCAAGTACGTTGGGGACAAACAGATTGTTTTAAAGTTTACCTTATGTGAGATAAGGAAAGGAAGAGAGAGAATAGAAGAAAACATGTGAATAAAAGATAGAAAGAGTGATAGAGACAAGAAAGTTGAACGTGGTGGCGTGGGGGGGGGTGTTGGAGGGATGGTGTGGGGTTGGGGTTTGGTGTGTTTGTTTATGTGGGTTGTGTTTGTGTTTGTTTGTGTAAGAGGGTGGGGGGGGTTGTGTTTTTAAGGGGTTTGTGTGTGTGTGTATTTATACATGTATTCTTTATATATATTTATATAAACGATCAGCGATTAACCCTTGTACTCAGTCCCTGCAGTACAGAACTTGCTACGATTTAGTAAGTAGTTTTTGATAAATATGATTCCGTGATTTCTTTGGGCTTAAATGATTACGAAAATTTTGATTTAACTACGATTCCTTTTTTTCATTCTCTTTTTTGTATTTTTTATATTTTTTCATTTTTGAACCGGTTTTCTTTTTTTCTTCTTCTTTTTTATATGTTCTGTCTTTCTTCTACGCTATTTTGTTTTTTTCATGATTTTTTCTGATTTTTCTACTTTTACGTTTACTTTTTTGTATTTTATCTTACTTGTTTATTATCTCTCTTTTTATTTGTTCTTATGTCTTTCGTTCCATTTACTTTTCTTATCTTCTCTCTCCTTGTTCCTTTTTATCTTTTCTCTTTTTCTTTTTTTCATTCTTTCTAATTCAATTCAATTTGTTGTCCAACTTTTTACTTAAATAATGTTTGTTAAGATGAGGTGCTGTAGATGTGGCTTATCATTGCAATACCCGTGAATGCAACTAATGATATAATGAATGAAAATAGACAATGTGATAGATAGTGACAATAATGCTGATAATAAGGTACATAATAATGATGATAATGCGTTCAGTAACGAGAGTGCGTATTAATAATGGCATAGATAATCATCTTAATAATTACGTGGTAGACAATGACTACAATAATCTGACAATTAAGTGATAATAGTACTTATGATATCGTGGATAATCATCATGATACTGATATCGTCGTAGACAGAGATGACAACGATACATAGTTGAAAATGTGTCCTTTGCGATACTGAAAATAATGATGGCGGTGCGACTGATAAGAATGGTTGTGAAAAGGAACAGTGATAAGTATCCTGTAGTAATTGTGAGAGCAGGACTGTTTCTCCTCCTCCTCTTTCCTTTTCTTCTTCTTCTCCCTCTCCTTCTCCTTCTTTTCCTTCTCCTTCATCTCTTCTTCTTCTTCTTCCTCTCCTTCTTCTTCTTTCTTCTTCCTCCTCTCCT